AGTTGGTATTGGGTGCAGCAGACTGTCTAGGTTGGAGAACATTCCCTGTTGCTACTGAAAGTAAATCTGCTCTGTGACGTTTCTTCATAATGCCTTAAGGAAATAAACCATAAATAGGATTTAAAAAAAAAAAAAACTCTAACATTATAAAAGGTTCAAAAGTAAATTCAAGAATAAATAGGCAACTTTTTAGACAACATTTATGCCCAAAGGGTAAAGGCGTAGAAAAAAGGAAAAGATCCATTGAGATCCCCATCTACTTTCTCAGCACACATTTCTTCCTGTTAGTAAATTTGTGATCTTGTCTTCTCCTTTCTTGTCATCTCCCCTGTCTTTCACTTGCTCCAGCAACTTAGATTTTTTTTTTCTACACATCTCTTGCCTACACACTTGTCTGCTCTATCACATTCTCAAGTCCCCCCTCTTCCTTCTTCTGTTCCCTTCACAATATGAGCACAGCATCCCACTTATACCTTCAGTCACCTTCCCATCTCCATTCCTCCCATCTGCTCTAAACTCTAAATACACTGTCTGAAATCACTATTTAGAGTTCACACCAGCAGACCACGTCTCTTATTTAAAATGTCCCCTCTGTACGCTACTGAAATGGTTCTTACTGAAGTTTCTAAAAATCTGTGCTGACCAGACTTTGGGTTTTATCCTCCACCCTCATCTTAGTGTTTAACTGTATCTTGGTTGCTGTATGCATATGAGATCTTATATTTAGATTGTAAACTCAGTAATTGGGAATTATCTTTGTTACATGTGTACAAGACACGACAATTTAGGTAGTGCTGCAATACAATATTTGTTTACAATGTGGGTTTTTTGGTTGTTAAATATTTCTACTTCAAATTGTTGTTATTGCTGGGAATAGCTGGTAGTAATCCTTCCTTAAAAGAACACAAAATATAATTAGAGCTGAAAATATATCGTTTTGAGTATTTATCCAGTTGATCTCTTAAAGGCACACTTGTTTTAAAAGACACTAAACTGCTGAAAATCAAATTGGGAGAAGGTGCTGCAACTAAAATTAACTGTATCAAAGTGTGTCAGTAGATGGAAGGCTCTCATTACTAATGTAAGGTATTCATTCAGTGAGTTGGTTGAACGAATCCTGAAGGCAATAATACTGCACTGCATACTATCAGAACTGTGTCAGTAATTTCAAATGTTCTTTTTCTAGATGAGAGTCTAGAAGGCTCATGGCTGAACAGGAATGAAAGCATACATACTCCAGGGACACTGCAAGCACCACAGCTCACCTCAACTGTCTTGAGAGAGAACACTAGGCAAATGGGAGAGCAGATCCAGGAGCACGAGTCGGAGCAGGGATCTGAACAAGATTTTTTACACAAGTAAGTGTCGGAATTTCAGTTTCAAATACAGTGAGCCAGGCAAAGGAGTTGCATATTATTTACACAGATAGTCTGTGGCTCCATAAATGCAGCATTTATTTGCAAAAGCAACTGGAAATGTCTTAGCTATAGCTCAGCAATACTTTAATTCTTTTCAGTTCACAGGAAAAATATGTTGTAATGAAGTCATGGTAGAAATTCCTTATGTTAAAATTATCTCATAGCGTAACCATGCGATAATGGTTAAATATTCCTAGTGTTTGTGGCCCCAGGCTGGATTGAACTGTTTCTCTAAAGATATGTTAGATGTTCTCTTTTCTTTCCCCCTGCCCTATGTTGTAGTACAGTTAAGGTTCTCCAGACATCCTAACTGATTTCTTTTAAATTAACTCTTCAGTCCAATTCTAGCTGCTGAGCTAGTAATTCCTGTTTCTGGGGTAATTGCCTGCAGGCAATTTTATTTTGCCCTAAATTATATATACTTTTTGTCACTCAACTCCCATTTTATCACCTCCATTAAGAGGGGAAAAAATGTTTGTTATTATCTGTCAGTATCTGGTTTGGAGACTGTTTTGTAACTTTTATAGCCAGATTTACTGTTCTGATTTATCTGTATAAAAAAGTCAAATTATGCTGGCCAGATGAATCAGGTTTCTACCAATGTAGTATAGTATAAAATAGCCAGATTATGCCTCTTGGTTTTCCTCCAGCTTTTGTCCATCATGTTTTTCTTGATACACGTTCCCCAGCTTCCCAATTCTTCCTGAACGTACACTCACCCTATTCAATCCTAAACTACATCGCTTCATCCTGCATTCTTTAATTATAGTCTGTTCTAAATAGAAATAATTAATAATGGTCATTTTGCCTGGGAATATAAAATATTCTCCAGTCTCAAATGACAAGGGTATATGTATACCACGACGTTGTACATATAAGCTATTAAAGTTTGCCAATTTGTGACCATAGGTTCTCAAAAAATCTAAGCAACTTCTAAAGAAACGTACTCTTTTGAAAGCATAACCTGTTCTTCTCCCTTGCTTGTGTGTGTAACATGCACAGGCATCAGCAGTGCAACAGATTAAACCTTGACATGATCCATTAATCAGTGCCCACCGCAAGAGATACTTGCAGCTCAGCTGGCTACAAATGCCTGTTAATTTGGGGAGCACATGATATTTGGCATTTCCATAAAGCAGTTCAGCCAACTTTCTTTCCCCACATTAACCGTGTAACATCACCATAAGATAGTGTGAGGTAAGCTGGCAGGCTGGCCCGGCTGGTTCCCACTCCAGGCAGGGGTATGCGTGGTCCCGCGCAAAGGCCTTACATGGGTTTCGGCTTTCCCAGCTGGTGCTGTCTGGAAGGAAGGAGGGCTGGCATGTAAACAGGCGAATGCAAGGCAAGCCTGGGCATGGGTTGCCTCACCTGCACAGTTCAGACTGGCAGGTAATCCCAGCTGGTCACAAAGAAAGCACGCTGAGGAGGAGCCCCTGTTCACCTCAGTCCCAGAGTATCTTTTCACCTGAATCCCACAGTGTGTGAGGTCTGGGGTGATGTCTCTTACTTGCCTTTCTGAGGTCAAGGATTTGTCTCCCAATCTCCTGCCTCCCCAGATGTTGCTGCAACTTCTAGATTCTAAGGAAAATGTTGTGGCTCTCAATTTCCCCTTAAAATTTTTCTACTCTGCAGTAAAAACAAAACAAAGTTGCTGAAGCAGAACTTTCATCCTGACCCTCTTTGATCTCACCTGTTGCTAAGCTAAATCTCTCTCTGTGAACATTTAATTAGTTATGGAAAGTTAGGACAGCTTCCAGTCACTGTGTTTTACTCCTGAGCCTGATGAGCAGGCACTGCCTTAAGCTGTGGGAGAACCTTCCCCTTTTCGGGGGGGGAAAGTTGAACCCCTCTTCACCCTGGGCTTGAACCTCTGTTTCTCCTATCTCAGACAAATGCTGCAAGCAGAGAACTGTTGAGCCAAGGCAGATAGCGTCGCCCTCCTCTCTGTTACTTTCAAAGACTTGGATTCCACATAGAAGTTCACAGTGTGAACTGACAGTGGAGAATCCTTTCAAGCCTGCAGTTAGCTGCATTTGCTAGAGGTCAGCTTAAGAGAGCTAAAATGTAAAATAAATACAGGGAAGTCAGTTGCTGAACTAATGGGGTTAATGATGTCCAGAAGAATATTTCATTCTAGGTTGTTTTCACATGGGTTATCCCAGCTTATTATGTCAATCTTATTAGGGTGGAAGACTGCATAATAAAATAGAAACTGCTGTGGCTGTTGAAGACCTGCACTTTAGTTTACTGCTATTTCTTTGTGCTGCAATATACAAATTGTATCAAATGCATTGCTGTCTACTACTGGATTTAGACGGTATTAAAAGTACAGCCTTTAAGGTATTTACATGTGGATAAGTTACTGGATGCTTAAGTTGATCAGGGTATATATTTAAAAGCAATTTGTTTTTCATGTTGTGTGACATATTTGTTTAAAATGTATGTCAGTTATTAATTTGGATCTATTCTTGCTCATATTTTGCCTGATCTGAGACAGTGAAGTAGGATTGAATAAAATTAATTTTAGAAGTGCTCCCACTTCAGGTGCATGTCACATGAACGAACGAGTAATGTTAGCATTTTATGTAGCTGTTTTTATTGCAATAATTAATGGACTTTTTTTGTGCACATACAGTGAGGGGAGACAAGTTGTGGAAGGGAATCCAGAAGACATGTACAATGATGGATGTGATTTAAATATCTTAATCTGAAGTATGGCCAGACACAAAACTTGAGGAGATAGATACTGTCTAAAAACAGCCAATTCAAAATTGTTAGTGTTCTCAGTCATAATGCTGCTTTATGTTTGTTAGTCCCCAGATGCAGATATCTTGGTTGGGCCAACAGAAGCTAGAAGATTTAAATCGAAAGGACAGGACAGGAATGAACTACATGAAAGGGAGAACTGGTGTAAGGCATGCAGTGTAAGTGTTCAGAGCATCCTCATCTCCAGATCAGAACCATTTTAGATGACAATGATGCATTTTAAATGTTACCTTTTCTGGGTTGTTGCCAGTAATTTCTGTGACATTTTAACTCTTGTTAAAGAAGGCAGAGTAACAGCTTTGTAATGTTGGAATGGACACCGGGCCATGTGGCCCTCTAGCCCAGCGTTCTGCCTCTAACCATGGCCTTAAGCAGGTGCATAGTGAACAGGGCAGACAGACATGGCACAATTCTCTCCCAGCCTTCAAATGTTTCCATTTCAGGGGGGTTCCATGATTTTTCTGTTAAGTAATTCCCCATGACCTCTTCCAAGTTCTTGTACAGTCTTCCCGTGAACCTGTTTATGCTTCTTTCATCCACATCATCTTTTGCCAAGGCATCCCACTGAAGCAGCTAATGGAGGGAACACACATGGGTGAATGCTGAAGCACTCTGTTGTACAAGGTGCTACGTGCTCTGGTGCCAGTCCAACCAAGTTCAGGATGGGGGTCAGAGCCTCTAGCGAGATCAAGTCCTTACAGTGTTAGAAACTGGTCTTGGATTCACTGCTGGATTTCCAGGGATTTAGCAGTGATCCTGGCAAACAGTGTAACTCCTTTTTGGAAAAGGGCAAGCAAACACAGTGAGGTTATTGCCCTTTTCTTGTTAGGGACAAATTTAATTACTGTTTATAATGATATTACACAGGACTTCCTGCTTTAGCCTCTGCAAGTGCTAGGTTTGTTTTTACGTAAGATTTTCTTCCAGTTAGTATTACAGAAAGCATGCTGGCTTTATTCTCAGCATAAGGTTTTAAGTGAAGGCATTAAGGGATAGGATTTGTGCATTCTTTTTAATGACTAAGATCATGGTTGGGAAATTTAAATGCCTGGAAATGACTTTTTCTTTCTCTTTATTTAATCAGACGAGGTCTAATGGAAGATGACGCTGAGCCCATCTTTGAAGATGTAATGATGTCCTCACGAGGTCAGCTAGAGGATATGAATGAAGAATTTGAGGACACAATGGTCATTGATCTGGTCAGTAAATCTTATTAATAGCAAGTTTAAAATGGATGAAAGATAATTTAAAAGGAATTTTAGAGGACGAACAAAAATTTCCAAAATTTTAAGCCTGATTTCCTGTTGTCTGAACATTAGAGTGGAAATGATCTGAATACTCCCTAGAATCTGCAACTGCAGACTCAGGCCCAATTGATTTTTTTCGTAGAAAAACAAGGAGAGTTGCTTAGCACTCTTCCTCTACAATATTCTGGACTTGGGCAGTAGCAAGTGCCTGAAGCACATTCATGCACTTGGGATTTGTCAACCTGTGAGAATCAGGTTGTGATTTACAGCGTATCAGGTGTAGTAGTGCAGCCCTCTTAAATGAGCGCTAAAGAAGTAGCTGATCTGAGTCACCATGCAGTTAGCCAAGGGCAGAAGGAGTGCAGTGGCGGGTAGAGGTGAGACCAGCTTACCCCATCTGATTGAATATTCCACAAAGCTGCCTGCGCAGCCTCAGGGAGTACAAATGGACTCTCTAAAATCCAGTAACAATGTTTGATTCCAGTTGTTGGTTGGCATTATGAAGAGTTTGGAAACAGTATCATCTAAAGGTATTCTAGGTGGTGTTGCCTTCCCTATGCTGTTGTCACAGCCATCGCTGACTCTCTTGCTGACACAGCTCTTTATGCAGCCACACTGTGGTCAAACTGATAGAGCCAAGTTGTTTCTCTTTTTCTGTTTCCTGGTTTGATTTCTGGGTGGTGGGGTGGATAGGGCATCCTTAATCAGGGTCTGGTTGGTTTACAGCCATACAGAGAGTTGTGCTGGCACAGCAGAAGGGAGAGCAGGCAGTAGTGGGTGGGCGTGAGGTGATAACCTTGCACTGGATGTGCTCCCAAACAGGTCATATCCTCAGATGGCAACCTCAGGTCCTTTCATGGTAATGTACTGACTACAGGCAGGATTTCCTCTGTAGAGGTTATAACCTTATTAGCCTCTCCATTCGGAATGAATACTTCCCTTCTAAAATGGGAAAAAGGATCAGGTTGCATTATACACTTCACCGTTTTTATGTTTTCCTATTTCTCCTTTGATATCCAAACAATAAGGCACAGGCTATTTTAGGACTGGGCTATAATGTCTTGGAAAGAAAATTTAGGCAATAATTCAGTTGCTGCTGCTGAATACTGAGGTTATTACTAGCATTCAAATGATTATCAAGTAAGTAAAATCTCTCTTTTACTGGTAATCCAAGGCAAGGAAATGAAGGAATTAATCAAGCCAGTGAAGCTCACATTTACTGTTATGTTCCTAGGGAAGGACAACACAAAGGGTTTAATCCTCAAAAATACTACGAAATTTAAGTACCTGTTTTTTTCTAAATCCTTCTTTTTCTAAATCCATTTTTTGACCATGTCAGAGTTTCACCATAAACTTAAAGGCATACAGTTAAAAGACAGTTTTTATGCAGTCTGGCCTACAGTCCTAATACAAGAACATCGTTATGTCAGCAAGAGCCTTAAGCAAGTCCTTAGCTATGAGTGCAGACTTAAAATTACTTTAGAATCCATCAGCTTTTACCCCATTCCTTAAATGTGAATTTAAGAAGTACTCTCCTATGTCAGGGCCTACATTTGTATCAGAGCTTTTATGAAAATCCATGCAAAGCTGCTTTGTAAAGGAATAGGTAACCATGTTAGTACCCATTAGCTGCAGAGCCACATGAATCCTTTATACCCAGGTAACTCATGTGATGTTCTAAAATGGCTGACTCCTCTTTTTAGCCACCTTCAAGAAACCGGCGAGAACGGGCTGAACTGAGGCCAGACTTCTTTGACTCTGCAGCTATCATCGAGGATGATTCAGTAAGGCTTTACTAGTGTTGTTTGCTGATTATCTGAGGTTCTTTTTGATTATCGTTACACCTAATTAATTACTTTCTTTTAAATCATTTTTCTAGGGATTTGGAATGCCTATGTTCTGAAGTCTGGTGAAGATATTTTACAAATTTGGAACTCTATTGTTTAGAGCTAGAGGCCTATATACTGTGATAGCTTGTATGAAAACCACATTTTTGATGTGATACGGTTTGATTTTTAACCAAATGATTGAGGTCAATCCCTTTTTGTAGTGACAGAAAGAAGAGGAACTTCTTAATGACACAAAGGAATGTTGGCCGATCCAGTCACCTCAGAAGGGCTGACCTAAAAAATCATTTGTATCCCTGTTCTTGACTGTCCTAATACAGATTTTTTTTTTTAATTTTTTTTCCTGGATGAGGAGGAAGTTTTAAATTGTTAAGACAGCTGTCAAAATAAACACTGTTCTACATATGTTTTCTGAAAACAACATTGAGTGGAAACAGAACTTTTTAACTTTATTTTTCTGCTGTACAATTTAAAACAGTTTTAACATTTGCCTTTTTATGTTTTAAAAGCTAGCCATTTTTATTAAACCTATGCCTATCAGCCATTGACTAGCAATGATGCTATAAGCAGGTCATTCTGGCTACAGAAAAGTGTTTTTGAACACACTGGATTTGATTAACATTATGGTACGCTTATATCCTCTCATAGGCATTGAGAAGAACACTCTTATAGAAGAGGTTAGAATTCTAATGACGTGCATCTCTGCCAAAAAATTTCAGATTCTGATATGATAAACCCAGATTTTATACTCTTGAGAAGATTTATTTTTATTTATAATGGGACATAAAGTAAGAGATGTCCATGAAGCCACTTTTCCAACAGATGCTGTGTAACATTCATTTTATATAGCACATGGGGACACAAAAACAGTAAATTTTCTATTGGTACTTGCTCTGTGCATTTTTAGCAACTTATACCAGCAAATAAAGTATTCTCAGTAAAACACACAAACGGTTCTCAAGTAATCACTTTGCTGTTTTTACTACCTACTTCAAGCCCTGCCAACCCAAGGTACATAAACAGCAACTTTCCTATTAAAACAAATAATTCAAGGGTGGGGGAAAGGAATCACTTTAGCATACTAAAAGCAATTTTAACTGTACCATAAAAAAAAAGTCTACTTTCCATGCCGTAAATACCCTTTTGCGCTATTTTTGTAAATTAATTTTGCCAGTTAGAAGTACTGTATGTGCTGCATAGAAATTTGTGCTTAGATGGTGAAGTTCTTAAGCTTACAATGGAATACAGCTACATTTTCAGTGTTAACTGTGCATATTAAGAGTAATTCTTTGGGAAAAAAGAAAAGATTTTTCAAAAAAGTTAAAAACGTCAAAAAAACCCCAAAAAACCCAAAACATTCTCAGCTAATTCATTGTAATAAGAGATTTTTCAATGTCTTCAATAATTTGGAATTTCATTATACTTCGATTTTATGACTCTGCCTAGTAGCTGCTACTTAGTTAAAACTGGCCTGCTATCAGAGGTGCTGGCCATCCACAACTTGCACTGACTCTAGTATCTCTAAGAATCAGCCCCAAAATGTTTATCTTCCTTTCTGCATTCAAATATTAGCATTTGAGATACAAAGCAGATTGACCCACTTGGAGCACAGCAGTTTTAGAGGTGCTTTTTTTAGCAACTGCAAAATAATCATGGAGCTTTTTTCTGTTACAAGCTTATTGAAAAACAAAATAACATTAATGCCCAGTGCTTACTTGCTGGGAGGGAAAAGAATCTAATTTTAAAAACAAACCAGCATTTCACTCAGCTGAGGTTTGTTTCTTACAACATGTGCAGTTCTCAGACATGGTTGCCAAAAATGTTTGACTAGGTAATTCAGCCATTCCTCAGATGTTGGTTGGGTAACGTATAAAATGTGAGAAGTAGCTGGAACTTTATAAAATAATGTTACCGCCCTTCCTCTTCCGTCCACCCCAGAAGTAATAGGGGTGGGCAGGAATGGCTGCATTAAATTGTCATCACAATAATTCTGTGAGCATAGTAGCATAATAAATGCTGCCTGGTTTGAGTCATAGTCTCAGACGAACCTTGTGCTTCACAGTCCTCTGTGTGGAAAACTGATTCCTAATTTAACATTGTAGAATACTGTATAACAAACATTTATTATCACGGTACCTGCAATGGGTTTCCAGTTCAGTTTGCAGTCAATAGGTTTTTGTATTATGAGTGTCTCCTTGATTGGTTTTGCTAGTAATTCTGTAAATTGTACATTTACAATATGAGGTTTTTTTCCTTTTGTACAATTTAAAACTGATGCTTCACCTTTCATTTAATAAACTATTCAAAATCATGAGTATGATGAGCACCCTCTTCACTATAACTTTCTTTTAAATGCTTGTTTGGACCATCACATCCTGCCATCCCATTTATTAGTAGCCAAAGGAAATACTGAAAGGTAGTTCTCATATAGTCCAGGCTTCACAACCAGATTCTGTATAGCTACCTTACTTGTTCAGCAGCAGAGCAAAGGAAAACCCTGTCTGGTCTGTTGTTTTTTTTTTCCCCGCCACTGTGGTGTATTTTTGGTTGATCTGAGGGGTTTTATTGTGAGATTGCTGTAAACCTGGTAAGTCATCACACAAGTTGGGAGAGTTGCATCGCTAAAACTTAGAATTGTTTGAACTATCACAAATTTTGAGAAAAAATTCACTCTGCTGCCCTGTACGTCTGAAGTGAACTGGACCACGTGGGAAGAAATGGAAGTGGTAAAGGCTTGGAAGGTCTGACAACCAGCTGGGCTAAATGAAGTTTTACAGATTCCTGAAACAAAATGGTCTCTTGTTATTCCCATGTCTCAGAGAGAAAGGTGCTATTTTTGTCCAACCCATGAATGATTTCATCTCTGTAGTGCTAAGGAAAACCGACTTATTTATCATCTGACCCACTTCCTAAAGAAAAATCATCTGAGTCAGAAAAAGTAACAAGATGCAGCAGGTGAAGAACAGGGATAGGATTCAAGGTCTGAACTGCACTCTAGGACTACTCCTGTGACACAGCCTGAATGCTACATCTCCAACTGCTTGTAAGTTATGCTCAACTCCTGATGCACTGTGGAACACAGTAAGTAACTTGTCATGCTTCTAAGTTCAAGGGCTGCTCTCTGTTGAAAGGATTTGATTTTATATCTCTTGTTTCTGCAGGTGACTGGAATTCAAGAGAATCTTGAGTAGTGTGGCCAGAGCAGCTTTCTAGTGTGTTTCCAAAGTGTTGTGCTGGTAGAGCAACTGACTGCTTGGAAATTGAGAGGATATAAAAGCCAAATCCTTGTGCTGGCAAGGGATAGAAGAGAGGATGAAGTCTATAGAACTGATAACAAGATAGGAAACAATTAAGAAAGGTTGTACTTTTTTGTGATAATGATGATTGGGTTTCTCATTTAAGTGTCTCCTCCTGACTCTGGGCAGGCTGAAGAAACTACGTGCATACCGCTTCACTTAACACAGCTTTTGCCTCAACTTGGGACAGCCACCAGCCACTCTCTCAGCTACTAATTACCTTTGAAAAAATCCTCTTGGTCCTTACAAACTCTGACTACACCTTTTCTCACAATTAACCAAGAACTCACTTCATGGCAATGACCCCTAACATAATAACATTTCAGTTTACTTTCCCTTGTTGTTGCAGCCCGCTCTGATCCCTGGGACAGTACAAAGAGGCCCCTGCTCAGAGAGTGTTTCTGCTGAGATACGACTGGGTACATTCATGCAGCTAGCTTAAATGCGTTTGCAGCCAGGATAGACAGTACATCTGTAACACAAATGCATTGCCTCCTACTACAAAAATCTGTGGAGCTGGGACTCATACTTGAAATGCTCCTTCTGTACTGTGTTTTCAGATGATTTTTTTTGTTGTTGCCTTTGCACTGGCTGCACCTGCCTGGGAAGAGATGCTACCTGGAAAGTCGCCATCTGCTCTTTCTTCTACTTCAGGCATGTGCTTGGGGAGTGAACAGAAGCAGCTGCAGTGTGCAGGTATGGTAGTTCTGTCTTATAATATAGTGCCATTAATTACTGAGGTTACTTAGAACAGACACGTCATTACAGGACTTCACGTGTTTGGCAGCTGTTTGCAGTAGCACTGAACACGACAGTAGCTGTTACTCACTACCTTCTGGAGCTGTAGTTAAAATGCAGCTTCTAATGAGCAGAGTGAGCATAGGGCCCAGGGCTGATCAGTAGTAACATTTACTGCAGTGGTTCCTTGCAAGTCTGGCAAATAATAATAGAAAAGATTAGGTTGGAAGGGGCCTCTGGAGGTCTCCGTTTCGACCCTCTGCTGAGGGAGAAAAACCCCCCATGCTCAGAGAGAAGAACTTGTATGTCCCACCAGAACTGCCCTTTTTCCACTTTGGGCGCATTGTCTCTTGCCCTTGCCCTTCAAGAGGAGGCTGGCTCCGTCTTCTCTCTCCCACCAGTGCCCACAGCCTGGAGGTCACTGGTACCAACCTGAGACCCAGTGTTGCTGCAGCCAGCACATACAAGTTGTGACGCAGGGCAGTCTAGCAGAGGAACAGAACAGATTAGTCTGAGATTGGCAAGGCCTGGATTCCAGTGCACTAAAATCCAAGCTCAGGATTTTTCTCTCGGAGTCTGTGTTGCAGGAAGTAGAGTCAGACTCCAAAGGTGGACCCAGGGCTAGACTTGAACTCCACAGGGGTCTGACTTCTCAGTGGTGAGAGGTCGCTGCAGCTCTGCCTGTCTTAGCCATCTCCAGGGCCTGTGGAATGAAGGAGCTAAGGGAGCATTTGACCTTGAGCAATTAGTAACAGCTCGCCTGCAGCAGGCATTGCAGGTTGTGTCGTTTGTTAACCCACCAAAAACGGTTTAGAGACATAAACTGATAAGACCCCAAATTAAATGAGATATGTACTATGATTTATTGATGGTCATTAGCAAAATCAAAATGAAAAGAAATATTTTCATTGTAAAGTAGACCTCCACTTAGAGAGTATTGGTGTTCAGAATACTGCCACGTCTTCCAGCACGGCAAAGCCACTCCTCACACTCACAGCGGGATATTAGCATGTTTCTTCCACGGACTGGACTGTGTTTTACTAGCCAGCACATCTAGGTCATGGCAGATGCGCATGCGGGTGCTCGAAGGTTGGATGATATCATCAACAAACCCTATTTAAAAAAAAAAAAAAAGGCAAAATCAAAACAATATTTTGAATAAACAGTTCACAACCTACAAATTAATTAAGAAAATAATTTAAAATAGCCCGAAAAGGAAATATTCCTGTGTCAGTAGTTTTTTTTAAATTAGAAACATTTGCTATTTTAATTTTTGCAAAAGTTAGCAAGCCAAAAAATGTTAAAGAGGGGGCTTTATTCACTGAGGACTGCACCTGTTAATGCAAAGTTTTAGACGTACCATCTCCTTCCATCTACTACTATTAGTCTGATTTAAAGGTTCAGAAGTGTTGATTAGAGGAGACATCCCTTGACTTTGCATGTGCAGTAGTCTGGGTTTTTTCTGGCTCAAACAGCAGTAATAGATAGTCTACTGCAAAACCAGAGGGAGCAATACTGTACCTACTGGTTGTGGTGGAAAACAGCTTGGCTAAGTTTTCCCAGCTCTGTGGCACTATTAATGGCATTTAAATGAAGTACGAAACTAATCAACAGAGTAAGCCAGCATGACTGGAAACAGAGAGCGCTGACTCCAAAGTGTACAGAACTGCCTTCCAGAGCACAATTAATGCTTCAAAGCTCAAAGTCAAAATTCAGAAGTAAAAACAGTGGAAAAATTTACTCCAAAGAGTGCTGGGGAACATCACTGAACCGTACTAGACTCTGACCCTTTCTTAAGGCCACTGGTCTGCATCTAGGACTGTCAAATAGATTGTCAAAGCACTTCTATGTTTAAGGAAAAGGCTGAGTTTTGAGATGCTAGTATCTATAAAATTGAAAATACACTTTTCAGTGCAGTCCAGACATTTCACCAGTCTCTTTCCATCTGAAGATGTGTTTTGTCTCTGGATGTGTTCTTCCTTCACATGCACAAGCTACGGTTAAGCATCACCTTTCTGACTCAGATACAAATGTCTTGCGTAAATATCTTATTCATTAGCAAAAAGTTTACTCCAGTAGCTACCAATGTATCTACATACAATGGCAAACTCAAAGAGGGGACACAATGCTTGAGATACCCGTACCTCTCATGGCTGCGGGAAAGGGGTTTGCAAACTTATCCACATATTCTGCCTCTGCATCTGCCTCTTTTCCTCTGAAAATGATCTGGACAGCACCCTAGAAAGATAAAGCCTACAGGTCAGTGACAGTAATTCAGCCCATACAGAGGAAAGCTGTCTGCTTTACCAGCCCCTTCCCCCCACCACAGTATACAAATGTGCATTCAGGTAAGCTGCTTCAGGGAAAGCACCAGTTGTCTTCATCTTGCTAGGCCACCTCTGTGCCACTGTAAAGGTGTTGATGGCTGCTGCACACCAGCGTGAGAGTCAGCCTGGATTTACCTTTGCACCCATCACTGCCACCTCTGCAGTAGGCCAGGCGTAATTTGCATCTCCTCTTAAATGCTTTGAACTCATCACATCATAGGCGCCCCCATAGGCCTGGAACAAAATCCAAGGTATTAATTAGCATGAACTGACCTTGCAGCAGCAGCAGCTTACATTCCTCTTGCAGCTTTTACTATTCCAAAGACAAACAAGTGGGGCTAAATTTTACCTGAAGGAGAGCATAAGCCTCTCCATTTTGCTACAACAATCTCCTAAGACTAGACGTCTCTTCAACTAGAACCACAAAACAGCAAGAAAGGGGACTGTTGTAACTATCCTGGTTTCAGCTGGGACAGAGTTAATTTTCTTCCTAGTAGCAGGCACAGTGCTGTGTTTTGGATTTAGTAGGAGAAGAATGCTGATAACACACTGATGTTTTAGTTGTTGCTAAGTAGTGCGTACTCTAGCCAAGGACTTTTCAGCTTCCCATGCTCTGCCAGGGGGCACAGCCAGAATAGTTGATCCAAACTGACCAAAGGGCTATTCCATACCATATGACATCATGCTCAGTATATAAACTGGGGGGGGGCCATACCATCTGACATCATGCTCAGTATAGAGAGGGGGGTGGTGGTGGCTGGGGAACAGCAATCGCTGCTCAGGGACTGTCTGGGTATCGGTCAGCAGGTGGTGAGCAATTGCATTGTGCATCACTTGCTTTGTATATTATTATTACTGTTATTGTTATTATTATCATTACTATTTTACTTTATTTCAATCATTAAACTGTTCTTATCTCAACCCAGGAGTGTCTCTCACTTCTCTGATTCTCTCCCCTGTCCCATCAGGGTAGGGGGAGTAAGCGAGCGGCTGTGTGGTGCTTAGTTGCTGGCTGGGGCTAAACCATGACAGTAACTAAGACCATTCTTGATGGTAGATAAAGAGGAATCTCTGTATACCTGGAACACCAGGCCTCAACCTGCGTCCTGCACATGCACACAAACAAACCAGTCGTCATGCTTCTGGAATGCAGGGAATGCAGCACTCTGACTCTGCAGTGCTCCACTCTGGTACTGTAAGTGGTCCAGACAGCACTGATGAACAGATACTGCAGAACTGCAGAGCAAACTGCAGTAGAGTCTGTTTCAAGGCATACTGAGAACTACAGCAAGGCTGTAAGCTTGGGAAGTAAAGGATGGTAATATGCAGAAGAATCAGAGAAGGCAAAGGGACAGAAAGAGGGAAAGTTCTTTTTTCTTTTTTGTCATGATACATCAAAAGCCTAGCAGAAAAACAAGCAGGAGGGGCAGACCAGCAAAGAAAAAACTAAGCCTTTTAGGACCCTAAAGGTCCCCCGAGCTTATGGCAGCATGGTGTCAGGTACCTTATAGAAAAAGAGAAAGGAAGAAAATTAAGTAGACTATAGCAAAAGTATATGGAAGAAGTGAAACCATGTGAGCGTTAAATCTGCAGACACAGCAGAAGAAAGATATACAGTCGGCACTGGTTTTGGAAAAGGAGACTGAAGTGGCAAAAATAGAGAAAGATGGCAAGGATTTGCTGTGTGCAGACAGATGGCATGTCCTCAGTGAGACAAGCTGGGTGACAGAGGACAAACACTCAACTGAAGGCATTCCAGGGAGAAAGCAAAGAGCAGAAACGTGCGATTTCAGAGGAGTGCAGAGACAAAAGGAACGAAGGAACTGAGGTAATAGTCTGAGAATAGAAGAACGGCCTCTTGTAACCTGACATGAAAGGTGTTACCAGATGGGACAAACAGAGATGTGACAACGATAGAAAGCAGAAGTGGGACAGATGGACAACGCTTCTCATAACTAGAATTGCTACTAGTAACACCAGGAACTCTAAAAGAACACCACAGAATTGTGCCAACTTACCTTTCTGGTGATGATAGTAATTTTAGGCACAGTTGCTTCTGCAAAGGCAAACAGTAGTTTTGCACCATGACGTATGATTCCACCATACTCCTGAGCTGTACCTACAAATGACAAACAGTTTTTTTCACTCCAGGGAATTCACAAAAACCCTGTATGCAGTTTGGCAATTGTCATTATCCATTACTGGCAGCAAACCTAACAACAACCAGAGCCACGTTAATATCCAGGAGAAGGTAATATCCAGGCAATGTTCTCCATAAGATGCTGAGCAACTCTACAAAAAAATCTCTTGCCAAAAGCAGCATATATTTGCATGTTAGGTCACAGAACCATAACACTCACCAGATGGTATCTTCTTAGGAACAAATACGGTTACATCACTTTCAAGACTCCAAATGTGACTAGCAGTGAAAAAACATAACCTAGATTCACTTCCCCAGAAACCCACTCTTCCAAACCTCCTTTTTTCTAGGCCATACTGAAAGGCAGCTTGGCTACTGTACCAATGACCTGTTCTAGTCTTCCTTCAAGCAAGCCCAAGATGATGGACCTTAAAAGACAGAGCATGAATTCCTCTGTAAGGAGTCTCACAGCAGGTGCTTGTGGAGAATGGTCGTATGCAGCAGATATGAATGCAAGTCATCCGTTTTATAGGATGTTCAACACAGTTCTGTCCCAAAGAGAGCCTCACTGACTTGCACTTGGAAACAGCAATCCCATGTACTTTATTTCCAGGATTCCTGAATTTCAGACCATTGGATATATAACTCTACAGTTACTTTCTAGCAGTTTACCCACCTACTATCTTTTGCTTTCAGCACCTGCGAGAACCTCTTAGAGTACTATGGGATTTTATTTTTTTTTTTTTTTTAAAAAAGTAAGATTTTTAAGTAAAAATTCTTTTGAGGGTGTTTGGTTTTTTTTAATAACTTATTTGGTAGTCTGTTTCGTGGCTTGACTTTAATGCTTTCTCTCAAGTGTAATTTGAGTGTCTAGGAATTTATGCCTACACTTGCAAATGTCTGTTCTCAACTGCAATTTCACTTTTGGTTCTTGTATTTCCGTCCAGCTGGTGGGATTCATCAAGCCTGCAGAACCTTCCCAGCAGCAGAAATCAGAACAGCCATGTCTTCTTATCCCAAGAAGCAGCCTGAACATAGCTGGGATGCTCAACCTAGACCCAGAAGCTGGGAAGCACTCACAGCCCCTATAATCTAGGAACAGCCCTAGTTCCTAATTCGCACTTAGAACAGAGCAGCCAGTCACTTAAAATGCTTCAAGTGTAAGCTCAATGCAACTGTTATTTGAACTATTTACACTGTCATCTATGGCCAATTAACATAAACTCTTTTCTGGCCATAGATTCAGTCCCAAACTTGTTCTAAATCTATGTTTTTATCCAGCTACGGTATATGAAAGCCTTAAATGTCATCTCTGTGCACACCTATTACATTGGGAGCTATTTAAAGTGTTTGGTTCACTAACACTGAGAGATGTTTTGTACACCTCTGTGAGCTGGTGTGACAGATTCATTCTTCTCTACTGAACAGGGAAATGATGTGATCAGCACCCTCAGAATTTATTACTTAACCTGAAATTTCTAATGCTGATGTACTAATCTTGCCAAACTCCTTAAAATACAACAAGTTTAGGATCACTAGAGATCAGATCTCCTCTCTTTACCTTTTTCTACTTTTATTTATCTTCCATTTATCTACTTTTAAACAAACATTCCATTATGCAGTATTAAGTTACTACTTTTCATTGGTTATATGGAAATAGCTTTGTTCTTGAATTCTCAGCAACCATCCAAATCTAGATTCCTGTCGTGGCCCCTGATATGAACTAAGCTGCTGCTTGGTCCACATCAGACAAGGAAGGTGTGTCTACAGGAGGAGAGAAAGGAGAGAGGGCGAGAGGGAAGAGGAAGGTCCTGTTAACGCCTTCTGTATTGCCTTATTGTTAAAACATGCAAAATACATTGTATTAAAATAAGAACTGGAGTGGTGACTAGTGACATGATGCTTTGATATCTGTAGAGGCCTTGAGGTAAACCTTGGTTTACACAACAGTTTTAACCTTACATTCAATTGTATGAAAGACTTAGCATGTTTATCAGTGTAACGGTTATATTCCTCTCTCAATTTGTTTTCTAATAGGTCATTTTAACATTAACTTCTCATATAGCCTATGCTGACTAATCTCAGATCAAAGCTTCTAAATCATGGGCATTTTTATCTGAAAAATGCCTTGGAGCATGAAAGAACCTAAGCTTTCAAAGATACAGGGAGGGGGGTGGTGTATAACTGAATCAATGGCAACCAAGGACATACTTCCCCCCCGCCCCCAGCTTCATCCTTTTGCACATTTGGGCATTAAGTACAGCAGATGAAGCTGGCAGATGAGGTACACAGTTTCTCTTGCTGCAGCAAAGCTTGGATAGCAGCATGGGCCTATATTAGTTCAGTAAGTCCAGAGCTGAGCCCGTTTTGTTGGAATGCGTCTTCACGGTGCCCTCAACTGCCACGCCGAGTGCTGCTTTGACCAGTAGCCTCCTTGCTCACAGGAGAATCAGCAGTGCTGTGCTCTCGTGTAATCCTGTCCAGAGGGCTAAGAAACAGTGTGTTAGACTGCTTTCCACTGCCTTGCAAGAAGCCACGGTCTTTGCAGGGCCTTCTGGTACACTATGCAACATACAGGCATCTAAATAAAGCAGCTGAGCATTTAAAGGGACATAGACTCTCATTGTAACAAAGAAAACGGTGTAACTTCCATAGCATTTATAACAAGGGCAGCATCTCCAGGGAATGCACTTTTTTCCTTGTGCAGGCCACAATCAACAGCTTTGCAATTGTGCTGGGTTTCCAGACAGCAGGACATAGCTTTCCAGAGCTTGACATACCCACGCTCAACCCTAGCAAACCATCTATCAGATTGCTGAATGCTTCAACCCTAGCAAACTGGTCATCCCATCTATCAGATTGCTGAATGCTTCAGCATTAACTTAATGCATGAACTGGCCCTCTCCAAAGGGGGAGATCTCCAAAGCAAAGCTTTGTGATCTCAGAACACACTGATAGCAATATTAGTGGCATAGTTAGGCACTTATTTCATTTTTCTGCAATTTCTTGCATATTTCAATATCCTTTTGTGATGACTACTGTACTTCGATTACAGTTTCTGTCCCAAAAAGTGGCATTTTAAAACCTGGCTTAAGTAAGTCTATTACAGTAAAGGTCTTCTCACAGAGTTTTTAAAATGGGTTTTTACCACCACCACCACTGCTCTGCAACTAGCTGAAATGTAACAGCAAGGCATACCTGGCAAAAATCCAGGAACATCCACAAAAGTAATCAGAGGTATGTTGAAGGCATCACAGAAACGAACAAAGCGAGCTCCTTTCACAGAAGAATTTATGTCTAAGCACCCTAAAGTTAAGAACACAGGGTAAAGTGTTAACGATTCCAATGATCTGCTAATGCCAGTAATTCAAGGCAATGTGAAAAATCACACTCTCTTTTAGCTGTACTGTCATCTTAAAACAAAACAAAAGCTTACCTGGAGATAATCTGCCATGACGTTTTGCTGGTTTAGAACTAAGCTAAGAGTACAAGCTACGTTCAACAGGCACTCATTTCATTTTTCTGACCACTGCGCATAGAGGCTTTCTATCCCAAAAAGTAGCAGTTTAAATTATATTCTTGTAATTTAAAGTATTTTTCTGTAATTTTCTCTTTATTGGTATTTTTTCAGATCAGTCATATTGAAAGACTAGAGAGTTCTCCATATAAAAAAAAAAAGTTTAAAAAAATTTTTTTTTTTAGAAGTCCACTAATATTCTGAGAAAGATCAGCATTTTTGGTAAACATGCTTCAAAGTATTTATGTTCTGTTTCAGTGCCATTTAGAAATATATTATGTGCTATTACATTAAACCTAAGTGCAGCTTGTGTAAGAGCATCTATCTGAAACATTAAAAATGTTTGTTAAAATTGAGACTATCAAATGAAGACGAAAGTAATACTAAAACCTGCTGACTGTCTAGTATCTTGATAGTCATATCTTGTAAAGATTATCAAGAGAATAAAACATCATACTGGGTCATCCAATTTTCCCAAACAAAAAGGCACAAACCTTAAAAACAAGGAGCAAAACAAAGTCCTGATTAGTGAAAGTCACTTCAGAAATTACCTAGTTAGGAGAGAAAGCAAAAATCCCTCGACAGTTAAAAACATAAGGCTGATCTTAGCTATAGCTACCTGTTGTACTTCGTATCTAAATTATCTGAGGCCAAGAGTCCCACACTTGGGTGTCTGAAAGCTCTGCATTTTTCTAGCTACAGAAAAAAAAAAGTTACCTTACCCTACAGAAGAGTTTTAGGTGTTTTAATACTGTGGCAGTAAGTATGTAGTTTCCATATTACGTTTAACCCAGTTAATTGCAGGCTGCTGCCAAATAGGTCTTCTACCCACCCTGCTTACGTGCTCCTACCACTCCTCTGGTGCTGGATACAGCAATCATTTAGTTACCTGCGAGCAAGATCACCTTGTCGGTCCTCTAAAGAAATTAACTGGTTTTCAGTTAAACACCTCACAGCTGCATTACAATGAGATTCAAGACAAAGTGGCAGGAAAACATAGTGAGAATGAGTCGAGGACCATACAAAACATAAACAGTTAATCTCGGAGCCAGCCAGCCTTACCAAGGGTGGGGGGCGCAAAACAGAGAGGAGGCACAAACACTGTTAAAAACTCTCACATCAGATGTGTACAGCCAACTCTAACCTGATGCTATTTTGGGTTGGTTGCCCACTATCCCAACAGTTCGTCCATTCATCCTGGCAAATCCAACAACAATGTTTCTGGCATAGGAAGGCATGATCTCAAAGAATTCCCTTTCATCAGCAATCTGCAAGGGTGAGAGTTAGGCAGAGCCCTTATGAAGACACATATGTATATTTATATACACAGGCAAACACAAAATCAATTATGCTAGTATCAGAATTTTAAAAACACTTCAAAATTTGCAAAATTAAAAAAAACCAAACCAACCCACACACAAACAACTTTTAAGTCATCTTTGTGGCCTTCATTCCAGGAAGTTACAAGTGCTGCACTTACTTATTATCAAAACTGCCACTTAGGCATTCTATCAGAGAACATCTTTATGACATTTCCTCTGTAGTGAACCTTTTATCCTAGCTTATAACAAATTAAAACTTCAAATCAGATGTTCAGGACTTCTTTCTCAAAACATATTTATCGGCAGACTACACTTTTAAAGAACAATTTCCAGTGATAAAAAGCCAATAGTACTTTTGGAGCTCAGAAACTCTCCATGACACGTTTAATATACTCTGTTTCTTTGCAAGTTCAGAAGACTTTGTTAACAGAGACCAATATAGCATGCTCCACTGTGTAAATCTCCCCCAAAGTCACTGACGGTGCATACAATGGAGCACAGAGACAGACTTTTATCTGGACTAGAAGAGGACCTGCACTACATGAAACATGTCTATCTGGAACCGCGAATCCTTGGCAGATGCCCTTCTCCCTGGGGCTGAAGTTCCAGCGTGTGCTCTGCGAAGTGACATCCACTGGTGTATAATGCACTATCAAAATTCACATGTTCAAAAGCGATAATAATTACACATGGAGCAGTAGCGACACCTATACATGGCTGCCTAGTGTTTTCTACTAGAATTCCTTGTTTTCAACTGTTGATGACAACTTTGCCTGTAGAGACTGCAGTTTGCCAGCCATTTCTGAGACTGAGGCAAATGAGAAGTTGTGAAAAATGTAAGTATCGTTAAAGTAGGTTTATTTCCTTCCTTAATACTTCTCAAAGTCTCTGGGAGGGATATTTTTTTTCTCCTAATTAATTAGCTTTTTCTTTTAAATGCCACCTGTTAACTTGGAACAGGTAGTACTGAAATTCAGAATGGAAGAATACAGAGATTAAAAACAGCCTGAGCTTGCTTTCTCCACTAAAATGAGTCTAAATGCAGCCAGTTGCAAACTGAAACGTGTTAGCTGAATGGGTGTGTGGGGAGAGACAGTGAAATAAAACAGCAAAAGGGAGAAATTTGTAAATGCCCTACAAACACAGCTGAACTCCCCCCCACCACCACCATTAGTATATGCTGCCTGTGAAGTGGAGTTATTCCTAGCTTCATCATCCACCTCAGACCCCTGGGTCATCTGCCACTCAACATCTGAGTGGTTGAAGCAGCAGCTGGAAATTTTAATACTCAAAATTCAGACTCTCAGGGTGCTGTAACAGTTTCACATGATAAAACTTTTACAAGCATGTTCTCTGCCCAAGCATTTATCCTGTAATAAGTTGTTACAACTGGAGAAGTCAAGTACTCAAAGTTAGGCAAGCAAATTATCAGCATTGCCTATGCTGCTTTTGTAAAACCTCCATTATTTATACATTGCAGTACTGGCTTTCAGGTTTTTTAAAAAAACAGTAAGATGTTTCCTTCCCTGCCACCCTCCCAGGAGATCTGCCTCACCTAATGAAACTTTAATATTGGAGTTTCCAAGCTTCTGAGTGCTTGACTTGTAATTAAATAAAAATATATTCTTGTACTGTCCGTGTACATAACTCTCTGAGAATAAATAGAGAAGGGTAAATCTTTGAATGCACTCTGTGTAGTTTATCACCTTTTATAAAAAAGTTCTAGAATTCAAGACAGTCATAACAAGGTGCAGGGAGGAGGGTAAGAGATAGAACTCAAAGCAGGGGGTTGTTTTGAGCCCAGAGAGAAAACTGAATTACAGCATCTTTGGTCTATACAGTTAATGCATGCAGCACAAAAAGATGTATCCTGAAAACAAATCTTAGGATTCCTTTCATCTGCTAAAATCTTTTTTTTCCTGCAGTTTTTGTTGTCTCTTTATTCATGGCTACTACACAGGTAAAAATAGTAACTTGTGAAGACTAAAAAAAAAAAAAAAAAGTATCTTCAGTGCCATTCTATCGGTTTCTTCAATTATTTACACACAGAATATAATATATCCATATTAATCTCAACAATGCTCACGCTAGCGGACTTACGGAGTGTATGATATCCAGCATATCATAGGCTTTAGTAGATTCAGTTGGGACAACTGTGTCCAGCTCAGGAACCAAACGGTCACTGCAGAAAGTAAGTAAGCGTGAGCAACACTATTTACAGACCGGATAAATACCAAGACAAAAAACTTGGGCAAACAACTGCACCTTTCCGAGACTTGATGGAAACTGCTTCTCAAATATGGGGAAAAGAATTAGGCCTCTTCGTCTCAGCCAGTTGTGCCTCAGGCCACTGAGCCCTCCCGCACCAGGAGGACAAAAGCCTGAGCGATCGCTTCCCGAAGGAGACGCATCTTCTGCAGGTACCCCTGCTTATGAAACCATCTCCTGGAGATACTATTTCTCCTCTTGGACTAGAAGAGCCTAACACCACACATGCTGAATATGAATACCAGCAGGGAACGCGAGAGGCAGGCAAATGCTACAAGTGGCAGTCTGCAGGGGGCACTGGAGGCACGCTGGACGCTGCATTTGGGCACAAATCGGCAATGGGGAAAAGGATTCGGTAGAACGAGTGTCCAGCGGCTCCAGTCCTTGCAGCTGGACGGGCAAAATGGTTTCTCCCAACGGCAGAGCAAGGTTTCTTGTCACACGCCTGGCTCTACCGTGCACACCAAGTTCAGGAGCTGCTCACTTACAACTGAGCCTTTCCCTCCCCACGTTGCGCGCTTGTGATTTTGAGTACACTTAACCATAGGAAACCTTTCCATACTTATTTCCCCTGCCACAAAATAAGCAGAGATTCATGGGTGGGGAAAACATAACCACTCTCAGCTTCTTCAGTTTAAGGGCTGTGTTTAAAGAATCTTCACTGTTACTCTGCGTAACTCAACAGTGATGCACTTCACGTGGAGCTTTACATTTAACAAAATGCTGCCTCCCTCTTCGCAGCTGCCGCTATCAGCGACCTCCATCTTTGATCATCTTAGCTTCACTAAGGACCTACAAATGTTAGTATTCACCGGGTCTTTGGATTCATTCACAGTCCCAATGGGGGGACGTCAATTTTTATGAGTCACAACTGAGAAGACTTCAGGGAGTGTTGTATTTGTGCTATCCCATAAAAATATTGATGTGTATTTGTTATAAATCGTGTTTCTGTGGAGTTCTTACTGAATTACTATTTTAACAATGCCGTGATTTAGTACATTTAAAACAAGACAGCACAAGACTGCAGGCACCCAGTTTAAAACTGAAGGAAGTGATCTGTAGTTTTGTCAAAATCAGGCAAAAACTAATAATGCAAGCCCTGGGGCTGCCTCTTGCTCCCTCACATACACAGGACTAGAGAGGCACAACTCCTTGCCAAGAGAGTAAAGCATGCATCTATTGATACAATAAAACTGACAGCAACTCTTCACGTATTTTTTTCCACATGATTAAGAGTATTGCATGAAAATATTTCCATAAAATGATATAATGAAACCTTAATCTGATGAAAGCAACCAATTTTAACATACTAAACCCCAAGCTACAAAAGATTCTAAAACTTTTTCTTGTCCATAGAGTAGATATGAATGCACTCCAAGTTCTGTCCATTACCTGTGGTATCCCAAAGGCTAAGGAAAGTGGAAAAATGAAATTATTGCTCCCATAAATTCACAGTGCTGTAGAGTACTGAGAGAAATTATAACAGCATTAAAACGAATAACCACCATCAAAATGAAGACATTACCCAGGATATCACAAGTTTCAAAATCTCCTTCAAATCATCACAGATAATGGACATTTGGAGCTTGCTAGTAGAGTCACTGGACTTAAGAGGTTGAGAACTGTGTTTCTTACAGATCCCACTTATCAGGTAGGAATCGCTGCTCTTCATCAAAGCAGTCATCTGAAGTCTGTGACAGCTTGATACACTCTCACCCAGATCAATACTGGTTTTCATTCAATACAAAAGGAAAACTGTACTTGGTTACCAAGAATCGATAATAACCTCCTCCAGAAATTTAAAAGCATACTTCAGGATTTAGAGGAGAAGAAATTTGATTATGGTCAAAGACACATAAAGGTAAAATCCCACCATACAGTATGCCAAATGCAATGAACTAGACACCCTTCAAAGGTAGAGGACATATTCACCATTAGTCAACTTGGTACCATAAGGAAACTTCTAACTCTTTAGAACCCAGGACACTAACGTCAAAAACTCCAGCTAACGGAAGTTTCAGCAACCAAGACTGACATTTTTTCAACACCACAAAGAACCTACCCACCTAGGGAAAAAAAAAACACCCACAAAAAAACCAAAACAAAAAACCCCACAAGCCTCTGGACTTAACAATGAAGACAAAAGTATGTTACATTTAATCTGCTTTATTCATGGCAATTTTTTGTGGTGTGAAAATGATGCAATAAGAAATAAATTACTCTAGAGGAACGGGCTTTGACTGGAGCAGCAATAAGGATCAAACACATCAATTCAAAGCAAAAGGAGTCTATTAAGATGTCAGTATGTCCAGATGAAATATTACCAATGTAAGCATTAAGACCACAAATGGGAGAAATACTGGAGACGCTGCTACAGAAACAGGCAAATTAACAAATTTATCTGCCTTCACATGTACAAAGACTACTAAATTGAAGTTCTTAGTACAAATTATTGAGCATTTATTATACTGTGATCCTCTAATGTATCTGGGGCTATGTAAAAGATCATCTCCCTCAAAAAAAATAAAGAACTAATCTCTTACACGTTAGTAGCTACAACATAACTGACAGCTTCTCACAAGAAAATAAACTGCCTATTATGAGATACATTGATTAAAAAAACCAGACTGTTGTTTCTATAATGAAATATCACATTCAAGTCTAGAGGGTAATTATCCCAGTACGACTTGTTGAATGCTTAGAAAGAACATGATAACCTCAGAGATAATACTCCAAATTAACCAAAAAATCTAAGAGATTTGCTTTGGTTTGTCACTATCAAACTAGAACAGTCTTCCAGTTTAACCAACTCCTAAAGACCAGCATCTCAGAAAAAATTAGCACCAGTAGCTAATTGACTTGTCTGACCATTCTCTAAAAGCAATTGGCAAATTTATTTCTCTAACAGTGAACAATGTATTTCGGCTACCAGAGCAGTGATTTGTAAAATCAATCCAAAAAAACCTCCCCCAACAAATTGTTTCAAAGACATTGCAAAGAACAGTGAAGCATGAAGAAAAGATAACCTTCCCAATTCATGTGTTAAAAATCTTCATGCATGTAAGAAATACAAAGACATAGATCACACATATCTGTAGAACTGAAAGGAACAAATTCAGGAGCAGCTCCCGCACTGGAGAGGGCAACCACCTCTTATGAGTTCCCTACAGAAAGAGCCAAACTGGGGGTGCAACTGGATCTCAGGTCAAAATGCTTTTACTCCACTGACATTCTCCGTCTTTACCACTACTAGCAAGGCTGTCTACTCAAACAGTCCCATGATGGCTCTCTGGCTGTCCCTCTATCTCTTGGAAAAATTCTCTGATAAAAATCCAGGCAGTCGCCATTTTTCCCCCCTCTTGAAATGACTCAAGTCCTTCCTTTGTTATGTTGCCAACTACACAATGAGCCTGGTAGACAAGTACCTAATACATAAAACTTTCTGCCTCCTTTGCCTCCTTGTTGCTTCCCCACCTCTAACCTTAATGAACAGAACTTACCCAACAGACACAAAACTGACAAAGCAGGGCAAGGTCTCCCCAATTTTGTTCACTGTGCTATCTTCTGTCTCACTTGCTTGTTTCACGAAACTGTGACAGCCCATCTGTACAGAGATTACTTTTCCCCATATTCTGCACACAGCCCGCATAACATTGCTTTCAGAAAATAAAAAAATTAAATCTATCAGTGAGCATGTATGTATGTACACATGCGTGTTGAAACACTTCCCATATTCAAACACTGCAATGCAGAATTATCAGCCAAGACCCCAGGCATAAAACACTCATTTCATTATACTCCTTGAGCCAGAGAAGCCATGAAATTTGGCGGATAGAGACCACAGATCTCAGCCAGTCTCCTCTTACCTGGGATCATGGCATTCACAGACTGGAGCTGGATCACGGTTGCTAAGAGGTAAATAATTGAAGAACTCTCGGAGATTAAGTAAAGCATCTATATCGTTCTCAAAGGCTCTGTGTGCGACTCCTGGAAAGAAACAGTTAAGCAGTTTCTGAAACTATTTTGCAAGGTTTCATTTTCAAGTACGTACCAATAAAGAGACAAAGAATTTGTAAATTTTTAAATCCGAGCTATTAACAATCAGGAGTTTTAAGCCACCAAATTTGACCAGCTAAAAATATCTAGAAAATGTGTGGCTGTATCAGACTTCCTCCTTAACAGGTCTGGATCGCTGATCTTATATTTAAAATAATGTAAACTGGTTTATCAACTTTCACAGACCTAGCTGGAGCCCAGCCTTCTGGAATTCAATCCAGGTCACTGTGCTGCATTCAAGCTTTGGACTACAAGTTCTTTTATAAATGCTGGATCTGAGCAGTGTCTGTGTGTGTGGTTTTGGTTCATCACCAGTTCAGTTCAGATAGAATTTGAGATCCCACAGTCATTTTGAGCCTCAAGAAGATTCATGAGTCACCAAGTTTTCCCAGAGGGGAAAAAAGCACTTAATCTCATATTGCCACTCAGTTTATAGTTAAAAAGTTCAATCAATCATGTTAGTAAGCAAACAAGGGATTATTAAGAATCTTTCAACCCATGCAAATTTCTGGACAACAAACAGAAAAACCCACCCACCCCAAGCCTTTGCTAAGCCCTGCCCTCCAACAACCTTCCCACTCCTAGAATCTTTTGTGGATTTGCCACTTTCTCTTCCAAATCCCAGAACTCTCCCACACTCCCGCTTTTCCTATTTTGTTTTCCGTTACTAAAAAGGACTGGCAAGAGAGCCTTATACAGAGTAAGATCCTGTGCTTAATAAAGTTTTATCACTTAGACTCGTGACGCCCATGAGTACAAAAATCTGTATTAGACAATCAGCTGTTCAGCTAGAACAACTATGTCATTTACTTTGAAAAATTATTAGTATGTTAAGTAAACTCCCCAGCTCTCACCGGATACAGCAGTGTGTGTCTTCGCACCCCCAAGCTGCTCTTGGGTGACATCTTCATTGGTAACAGACTTAACGACATCTGGGCCAGTGATGAACAGATAGGATGTATCCTGGGGGAGGGAAAAAAGCAAGAGCACACAGTAAATGCTAAACCCAACCTGCAAAAGCACCTCAGGAAAAGCCACAGTCTCTAGAGACTTTTCCCAAAATAAGAAAACAGTAGAACACAGGGACAAATTTCTTAAAAATCCTTAATGCATTATATTTAAAATCCACAGAAAATTTAATTATCCACAAATTATTTGGGAAAGTTTTTCTTGACTTTTCATAAAAATAAGCTTAATCCAAAGCAGGAGACCATCTCAAAAAAAACCCCCTTCATGTGGGGTCAGTTTGTGTCTGATCATGTTACCAGCAGCAGGTCAGGATATACTCCTCCCTTACCTTCACCATGAACGTGAAATCTGTTAAAGCAGGCGAATACACAGCTCCACCAGCACAAGGACCCATAATGAGGGAGATCTGTGGAACTACCCCAGAACACAGAACATTTCTCTGTAATAGAACAGACATCTAGTTTTACAAAAAAAGTGCATCTTTAAGTCTGTGCACAGATCCTGCAAGAATTCACAATCACAAACAGGAGAGGACAGCTTGCTTTATTTACTGGGAGACAAATATCTGGACAGAATGTCTCGATGCAAATGGAACCAAAATAATTTTGTTGCTATTGTTTTGCTTCTTTTCTGTTCCCATATGTTTGATTTCATATACCATGCAATGACTGCAAAGGAAGATGGAATGTGCAACCTCAACAGATGCTGCAGGGGCAAAACCTTCACTGAGTGGTGAGAAGTATATGTACCTGAAATTTGAACATATAGGTACACTATCGCTCAGAGGTAGAACTAAGTTTTACTAACCAGCTGTGGCAGAAATTCTTTTAAAATCAGATTGATGCACTGGCTTGAGTTTTACACAATGGCAAATTACTGCTGTCCACCAATATGGATGGCACATTGTCCAAAAAAAAAAAAAAAAAAGAAAAAAAATGTTTACACTGCTCATTGCTCAACTGGATTACCATTGATTTCTGTAACTGTTCACCTGCATCATCCCAGATCACACTAATCCAAAAGACTGTTAGCATGTAACCTGTCGTCCCACCCGCTCACATTCCTACTGAAAGCACAATCATGTTTATGTTTTGTGCACTTACTTTAAAACTGTGTGGTTTTAGGCATATAAAATAATGTCATTTCAGTGGGAAAAAAAACCCCAAAACAGTAGTGTGTCTAGAGGAAAAATTCTTGCATTAACCACAAAAATACTGTAGAAATACAAAACTTTCACCAGTCCAATCAGTAGTGGATGTCCCCAAACCGTAAGGTTAACAGGTTCCATTGTACTGCACACTGTTCTTTGAACAGAAACTGTGATTTGCATCTTCTTTTCTTTTTTTTTTCCCCACTGACCTATCATCTTGACAGAATAGGCAGTTGGTGCTTCTGATCTGACTTTCTCAAGTTTTCTTCAAGTGCACAGTGTTTGATTTACTTTAAGTCCCTCTTTCTGCAGTGGAAATCTTTCACTTTTTATCAGTCCTACTGAAAACAAATCTGCTGTGTGAAATTCTTAACGTGTCTGTATTTCAGAGGAGACATGGGGACAGCTGGTGGTGGATCACAACCATCAGTCACCTAACAAAACACCCTCTGAACTACAGCATGCCGACCTGTCTCAGACAAACACATAAAACACTGGAGAGAAATTACATCCCAACCCAGGCAATCTATACATTAGTGCGAATCAGAAAGTTAATTGCAAGAAAACCCTAAAACAACTGTTTAAGTAAATTGCCCATTCTTTCATTCTTATGACAAAGCTCACACAGCACAACTCCTACAGAGCTTTTAATTTTATCAGAGTGTTTTACAGGGCTCAGCATTACCCTCGTTTAACAGATGGGTAAATGGAACTAAGAGGTACAGTAATTTGCCCAAAGCCAAAAAGAGAACCAAGAGGACAGCCCAGGTTTCACAAGCCCTCATATATGCTGCTTTATCCACCAAGTAACACTGGCTGAAATAGGATGATAACCTAAAAGTTTACTTACAAACACCTACTTAAGTAAAGAAAGACTTTGTCCATCTTTGTAGATGCCAAGCTTCCTCGTCATCCAGCAGCCTACTTACCAAAAATATATCTGCATAGCCAGCCAAGGACTCCACTCCCTCCTGGATACGGGCTCCTCCAGAGTCATTCAGCCCAATCACAGGTGCTCCAACCATGGCAGCTTGATCCATGACCTGATGATGAACACAAACTCCTCAGTACTGACCTATCTAAGCTAAAATCCCAAAACAACCAACCCCCAAAATGTACATCCCCTAGAAAAAAATCCGTACATGCCAGAATTTGAATTGCCTACACAGTGCTCAGCTTCTCTGTTATTTGTATTAACTATCAGAGTAACTACCTGCTTACTGGGGTATCGTGTTTTGACTCAGACTGGAGGCTAAAAGATACACATTTAATCCCTCTCATGACCTTTAATACTTATCTGCCTTACTAGCTGCGCATCTCCAGAATCACACTGCATTATCCAACCCTGTGCTAAGTGACACAATCACAGGAATTTGGACCAGAGAGGTCCGATCTATCTTGGCTCATAAGAGGTCCCAACCGCACCTTGAACACTCTCTCATATATGTCTAATCTGATCTTAAAAGTTTATTGCAGTGGTGATTGTGTAATCTCCCTAAGCAGTATATTCTAATGCTTGATTATGCTTCTTAGAAGTTCTTTGAGAAGACTAAACTAAATCTTTCCTCCAGAAATTTAGAAACATTACTTCTTTCTTGATATATAGTAGACAGGGAGAGCAATTAACTACTTCTCTGCCTTCATAAACATTCAAGTACCTCAAATCTCCCTGCAGTCTTCATATTTCCCTTCATGTTTCTAGACTAAGCACCACCAATTCAGTCACACCATTCCTACTACATCCTATTTTCTAGCCCTCTGATCATTTTGGTCACTTGCCTCAAGATCACATGCAATACGCCAGCAGAGGCTTAAGGGGGAGGATTGAATTCCTTACATTCCTTACATAAAATATTCCTGCTTTTTAGATCCCAGTAAAATATTTGCCATTTTCATAACACTACAGCACTGGCATATTACGATAAGATCTGCTTTAACATTAAGACTGATCTGCTTTAGCTCCTAAATAATTTTCTGTAAAACTACACATTGTCAGTCAATCCCCATTTTGAATTTCAAAGTTACTTTTCCCTGCCTGGTATTAGCCCTTTCAATCATTGTTAAAGAATTATATCTTATTTCAAACAATCTTTAACTTATTAAGATTTTTAAAACTTCAGTCCTATCTTTCACAGTGCTTGCAGCATTAACCTTGAATTTTATATCGCCTAGAAACAAAGTAAGCATACTCAGTCCTATTCAAATCAGTAGTATCCCAGCAGTACCAAAATTCCAGCCTGAACATGAACTGGTGATAACTCTCTCTGTAGTTCTAAAGTGGCTTTGCTCCTACTTGCAGTCATTCAATGTAAAACAGGGGTTCTTCGTGCTTTGTGCCTGGACATCCATTTAAAAGTTGAAATATTGCTGTGGCAGACACACAGAATGACTTTACAATTTAAATACAATCCCACATTTAAAAAGCATCTGTGTGTATTGCAAACAGAGGCTCTGTGAGCCACAAGTGGCCTCATTTGCTTATGTGAATGTTACACAAGGCATTAATCAAACACCTTATTAAAAATGAGCTGAGTTGACATTTATTGTTTCTTCCTAGAAGGCCTGTCATCCTATCAGAACAGGTTAGTGAAACAATTACACTGACATATTTTGCTATTTTCCAGGGCCTTATATATGGAATAATTATTTATTTCAAGGCTTTTCTAGACACTCACAAGTTCTTCCTGAAACACACATCAACATGCACATTCAGACTACTGAAAATGTGTTCATATATTTGAGACCAGACATTTTTTTGCCATACCAGTATTTGTAGGGAACATTTCAGGATTCATTCTCAAAAAACACTTTTCTTCATCTCATGGACTCAACAATTGTCTTGAAACATGACATCATAAATGCACACATAGGCTTTAAAGTATTCCCCATCACAAGTGGGCACATATTACTCTCAAAAGAGCCACACTGAATCTCTACTGCTTCAGGGAAACCATTACAGGCATTTAATGAGTTCTGGAAGACCACAAGGCTCTTTGCAAAAGTAACAGGCAATCTGTAACCCAGACCTACCTAGCTCGGAGCTTTGCTGCAAGATGCCAAATACTGCTACCTCTCTGCAACTCCAGGAAAAAAGCCCAAATGGGAAATGATTACCACCAAAGGGGCAGATCTCCTTGGAAGTCCAGCTAAGGGACAGCAACTTCACTTTCATTTTCCATGGCATTTTACATCCCTTAAGCTACCGATAAGGTTTGCAGGAGCCAAGATCATCTCTCAGAACAGATTTCTGCTTCCCAGAATTCAGCCCAATAAAAAGAACTAAGAGAAGTGAGACAGATACCACACTACCCAGCCCATCTTTTTTGAGGTCTCCACTGCCCAGGCTGCAGCCTCAAAGACTCTGAGCCCCAAACCAATTGATGCATCCAGAGCCTTCAAACTTTGGTGCCTACCACTGACATTGATGCCAACCAGGAATAGTACCGACTAGGAAGGACTCACATTTTTTTTCTAGTTCTGCTACCAGCACTCTCCCTGCTTCTTTAAAAATAAGAGATAAAAAAAAACAGTAGAAAGCATCCCAGTATTCCAGTACCATGACATCCCTCCCCAACACAAAGAGACACTGCAAAGCTTCAAAATGAAAGGGTAACATCAAGTCTTTCCCAATATTGACTTGCTAAAGCCAAGTAGTTGTTATCCAGCCCAAAGTCTTCATGCTTTCTAGTTTTATACCTTCTCACTGCTGAGGACACTATGCCAAAAAGTTATCTAGTTATTTCCATCAAGAGAAAAGGCCTTGTGCACCAAAAACCTTGTTTCTGATTCCAAGAAAATTCAGGAAGTTTTCACCACTGAACACTCATGCATGAAAAAGTTCTTGTCCTCTCCACTGCTGGGATTCAAACACCAGCTTTTCCAGTGAGACAAGCAGACAAATGAGAATAAATAGCCACAAGTGCCTGATAACATAAGCTCTGAGTATCAAGGTGACCTCCAACTTGTAAGACTCTGTATCTTCAGACTGTTTACTTGTTACACTTGCTTTTTATAAATATTACATACTTCCACATAGCACTGTTTATAGGAAAAAGTTTCTCCCAAGTCATTGCACATTTCTCACTGAACAATGTCTAGCTAATTTATATTTGTACTTTGTCAGTCTCTCTTGTCTTTTGTAGCACAGTACAAAAGGCAACTTAATTAAACAACTTAATTAAACAAAGTGTGTATTACTTGGAAAAGCTCTCTTATATTTGAAAAGCTTCCAAAGGAAAAGCTTCCTCTGCTCACCTGTGCTTTCACATCTGAACTGACATGAGGAGGCAGGCATTTTCAGGTTGCCATGACATGTACCGGAGTCCACTAAAGTCAGTTACAAATTATTGTCTACAAAGTCATTAGCACAACAGATTGGAAAAAAAGGACACTGACAATTTTTTGTTTTATTTTCTCCTGTGAAATATTACCTTGCAGATCTTCTGGGCATGAGCTCCAGATAAACTACCTCCAAATACAGTAAAATCCTGGAGGGAAAACAAATTTTCAAATTAGGTGAATCATTTCAGTAAAATGTTGTAAAATGTTGCAAGTAAATAGTATAATCCTACAATGCTCTATATTTGGTATGCTGCTCCAAAACAACCTGACTCCCTTAGTGCAGCCTGCAGATCAATCCTGTTCAATGCAAGCCTTCTCTACAAGTAAAAAGATCTTTTATATGCATTTGCCAGTGGATTCTATGTTAAAATCACAAACTTACTATGTCTCATTTGCCTCTTTTTTTCCTTCACAGAAACATTCTCTCTTCCTACAAACATATGTTCCTCTTTCATGGACATTATTAATACTGGACTAGTCTGGAGAAATTTCACCTGTGAGGAGGGTCCCACTGCAAGGGGCAGCAGTAAGATATGCCTGCATACAGGCAGAAACAAGAAACTGAAAATATGCCAGCGTTCTACATTCATGCATTATGCTCCAAGAGTCGATTATTTTTTATGGGTGCTGTAGGGACTATGTCAGCCAAAACTGACTGTTGGTGTCACCCCTGGGCCTGAGCA